TTTTTACCCACTGGGTCCAAGCCTTGAACCGCACAGTCAGCCCGTGGGAGTCCAGCGACATAGCCATTACGCTAACTGCTGGTTCCCCCAATCTACTTTTTAAAACTATTTTTTATTGGTTATTTAATTGTATTTCTTTTTACTGTTATTATTTTTTAATTTATTTTATTTATTTTTACTGTTTAAAGAATTACTTTATTTAACTTTATTTATTTATTTAGTTTTAAAATATGACCAGAGAGGGACAGGATGTGAAAGAGAGAGAGAGGGAAAGTCAGAAAGCAAGATCTAGGACTTGAACTGTGGTTGGCCATGTGGGAGTCCAGCACTCTTAACCACCATGCCACTTGCCAGTCCCTCTTTTTACTACTCTTTTAAGATTCGCTGTAGGGGTACATGCACTCCTGAGTGAGAGAGAGAGAGACACAAAGTGTGGAATCAAGCCACCAGGTCCAGGAATCGAGCAGCAGTCAGCCATATGGGATTTCAGTGCCTTAACAGCCTTGCCACTGCTGGTCCTTAATATCTACTTCCGAACCCATGAACCCATGAGCTTGATTGGGGGTGGTGGGAGGGGGATGGAGCGGAACTATGTGTTGCCAAGTCTTTGTCTTTTGGAACTGCCGTGAATCAAATACATTCTTTATTCTTTTACTTTTAGACTTTTCTTTTTTTCTGGGGCTTAACTGCCACTCTGGTTCATATTCTTTATATTCATTCTTGAGTAACTTTCCCCCCTGCCTGAACCCACCCTCTATGTATCAGTACATTCTAGAGTTTTAGAGTTTGTTTGTTTGTTTTTCTGTAAGGCAAATAACAAAGTTTAGATTACCTTATTTTATAACATATTCTTATTTTGCTCACAGTAATTGATAGTTGATAGCAATATGTTTAAATAAGTTTTTCTTTCTTTCTTTTTTTTTTGGGACCAACAGTTGGCATGGTGGTTAAGATGCTGGACACTCCCACATGGCTGACCATGGTTTGAGTCCTGAATCTGGTTGCTTGCTTTCTCACTTCTTCTCTCTCTGTGTCTTTCTCTGGTCAAATTAAAAATATATGAATGAATAAATAAAGTTAAATAATTCTTTTAAATAAATGCATTATTAGTTAACTGTAGTCAGATACTTATTCTTCCCACTTAACTGTATCTTTGTACATGTTGACCAGTTTTACTCATCCATTTCTTCTGTCACCCCATTTCCTTTTATGGTACCTTTTTCTTTTTTTAAAGAATTATTTAACTTTATATATTTATTTTAATTTAAGCAGGGAGGGACAGAGAGGGAAAGTGAGAAACCATGCTGCCAGGTCCAGGACTCAAACCTTATGGGAATCCAGTGACCTTAACCTCAGCGCCACCTGCTGCCCCCTCCTTTTATATCTTTACCCTCAGCTTGGGTGAATTGCATCAGGGTGTGTTCAGGGGTGGGTCTTTTCCTCCTTTTCCACATGTGAAACTTATTCCCCCTGAACTTCACCTGCTTCTAAGGTTGCTTCCCCCATAGCTTTCTTTTTTTCTTTTTTTTTTAAAAAAGAACTTTTATTTAACTTACTTATTTATTAATTTATTTTTAATTTCACCAGAGAGGGATGGGGAGGGGGATGAGAAAGCAAGCTGCCAGATTCGGGACTTGAACCACCATGCCACCTTCTGGACCCTCTCCCATCAGGTGGTACTTCTGGTACTTCTGTTAGAATGCTATTAGATTTCATAGACCTGTCTTCTATACCCTTTCAATTCTATTTGCATGTGTTCTGTCATTTTGTTTCGTTTTTGGAGATTGCCTTGATTTTATTCCAGGTCATTAACCTGTTCTACAGCTGTGGGCTTTCAACTGAAATTGCTCGTGGTGATCATTTGTAAATTTCCATGCTGGTTATCCCTGGAGTATCCTGCAGAGCACAATGGCAGCTTGACAATATGCCAAAGCCATGAAAACAGACATGAACAACTTTAGAAATAGGATTGGCAGGACTTGCTTATGGGACGGATTTGGGGGAGGAATGAGAGAAAGGGAGGGATCAAATTAATCTTTTGTAGCTCAAAACCATATGAGGCTTATTAGTTTAGAACTGAAGAGGGAAACTGCACTTTTTCACCATTTCTTAAAGTTTACATTGTTAATTTCAGAGTCCGACTTTCCAGAATAATTCCGAATATTTAGCCTTAAGGTCTGTCGGCATCAGGAAAGAGAAAAGGAAAAAAGGCCTTAATTTCACTCAGAGTGCTCTGTCCGCACTGGAAGAGTTAGTCAGTGTTTCCTGCGGTGAGTAACTAACTTGATAAATTCGGGTGTTAATCAACCCAAGCCTCAGAGGATTACTGTTCATAAAGTCCTAAGGAAAATGGCTGATTCTAGGTATCCATGTTTATTTCTCCTCCAGAAGAAGTAGATGGCTGCCCGGTCATCCTGGTTTGTGGACCTCAAGATGTTGGAAAGTCAACGTTTAATAGATTCCTGATGAACCATTTGTTAAGTAGGTAAGAATGCTTTTATTTGTTTTGACCTATTACTACATCTTGGGGAATATGAAGCAGTATTTTTTCAATTTAGAAAACTTGATGGGACTATATGTTAATTTCTAGGGAGAGAGTATATACAACTTCTGTAAAGCTACTAAACTTGCCAGTGGAATTCTTTGTCATCATCCCTTTTGTTGTTATTAAAGAATTGCTTATTTAATTTTATTTATCATGATTATTTATGTATTTAAATTTGTTACAGGGCAGAGCCAGCAGTTGGCATGGTGGTTAAAGGTGCTGGATTCCCACATGGCCAACCGTGGTTTGAGTCACGGATCTGGTGGCTTGCTTTCCCACTTTCCCTTTTCCTCTCTCTGGTCAAATTAAAAAATAGTGATAACAAGTGGAAATAAATAAATTTTTTTTTTTTTTTGAGGGGTTTTTGCTATAAGGGCGCTTGCGCTCACCAGAAAGACGGAGACACAAAGCAAGAAATCACCCCCCGGGGGGATGGTTACACCGCAATCCCATCTTCATTCTCCTCTGGGGATCTTGGGCATGCGTGTACACTTGCTCGGCATGGGTTTAAGCCACTGGGTCCGGGACTCAAAACATAGTCGACTACATGGGAGTCCAGTGATGTAGCCATTACACTGTCTACTGGTCCCAGTAAATATATGTTTTTCAAAAAGAATGATTTATTTATTTATTTATTTTTGGAGAGGTTTTTGCTATAGGGCACAAGCGCTCGCCAGAGAGACAGAAAGCGAGAAATCACCCCCCCAGGGATGGCCACGCCGCAATCCCTTCTCCATTCTCCTCTTGGGATCTTGGGCATGCACACACACGTGCCCGGCGTGAGTTCAAGCCGCCAGGTCCGGGACTCAAACCGCACTCGACTACGTGGGAGTCCAACGACATAGCCATTATGCTAACTACTGGTTCCAAAAAGAATTATTTATTTTATTTTATTTATATATTTAATCATTTTCATTTGACCAGAGAAAGACTGATACACAGAAAGAAGGAAAGTGAGAAAGCAAGCACCAGGTCTGGGACTTGAACGATGATTGGCCATGTGGGAGTGTTCAGTGCCTTAACCACCATGTCACCTGCTGGCCCAATGCATAAATATATATACATATATACATATACACACGCACATATATATGTATTTTTTTATTCTTTTTTTTTTTTGGAGAGACATAACCATTACGCCAACTGCTGGTCCCTATTTTAAATAATTTTTTTTTTAGTTTTTTTGCTATAGGGCGCGTGCGCTTGCCGGAAAGAGAGAGACAGAGAGACAGAAAGTGAGAAATCACCCCCCAGAGGGGCGATTGCCATGCCGCAATCCCTTCTCCGTTCTCCTCTGGGGATCTTGGGCACACACGCACATGTGCCCGGTGTGAGTTTAAGCCACCGGGTCCGGGACTCAAACCATGGTCGACTACGTGGGAGTCCAGCAACATAGCCATTACGCTAACTGCTGGTCCCAATATATGTATATATTTTTTAAAAGATTTATTTATTTTTCACGTGAGTTTTGCCAGAGAGAGAGAAAGCAAGCAGCCAGGTCTGGGACTTGAACTGTGGTCAGCCATTAGCACCTTAACCACTGCGCCACTGACTGGCCCCAAGTTAGCATAATGGCTATGTATTTTTTAAAGAGTTATTTTATTTCACTTTATAGCACCTTAACCACTGCGCCACTGACTGGCCCCAAGTTAGCATAATGGCTATGTATTTTTTAAAGAGTTATTTTATTTCACTTTATTTATTTATTTTTAAAATTTGACCAGAGAGGGACAGAGCAAGAACTAGAGTGAAAAAGTGAGAAAGTGAGAAAGCAAACTGCCAGGTCTGGGACTCTAACCCTGGTTGGCCATTTGGGAGTCCAGTGCCCTTAACCACCACACCACCTGCCAGCCCCAATAAATAAATATTTAAAAAATAATAATAAATTTGCTACAAGACATGCACCCTCACCAGAGAGAAAGAGAGAATGAGAGAGGAAATTGAGAAACCATGCCGCCCAATCTGGGACGCGAACTGTGCCTAGACATGGGAGCCTGGCATCTCAACCAGTGCGCTATCTGTAGGCTCCATCATCCTTTTTATTCCCCAAATAATTATTTATTTAATCTTATTTATTATTATATTTTAATTTGACCAGAAGGCGACAGGGAAAGTGAGAAAGCAAGCTGCCAGGTCTACGGCTTGAACCACTGTCAGTCATGTGGGTGTCCAGCACCCTAGTCACCATGCCACCTGACAACCCCCCTTTTTTTAAATGCCAGTTTATATATGTGTTCTAAAATGCTCCCCCTCGTCACCACGCCACCTGCTGTCCTCTCCCCTTTTTTAAAAATGCTAGAGTTTGTATGTGTTCCCTAAAATGCTCTCCTTCTACGTGCTATGGAGCCTGGTCATGCCGCTGGCTTCTTACCTCCATTCTTCTTTCCTACCAGGATCCTGAACATGCACACACATGCACCCAGTGTGTTATTCAACTGTGGTGGGCCATGTGAGATCTAGATTCTTCTACACAGCACTTAACCAATGTGCTACGGGTTAGTCCTGTCCTCTAGTTTGGGACTTATGGTGATGCTCTGGGGTAACTGGCTGCCTTTTCTGTAAACAGGCTTTCAGAGAAGACAGTTGCCTTCAGGATCTGTCCACATGAAGTCTCCAAATCCAAAGGCTTAGAGTAGGGGTGACATGTGTTGTGTTATTTATTTATTTATTTATTTTAAGAATCATTTATTTGGGAACCAGCAGTTAGCATAATGGCTATGTCGCTGGACTCCTACGTAGTCAACTGCGGTTCGCGTCCCGGACCCGGTGGCTTAAAACTCACACCGGGCGCGTGT